AAAAGTAACGAAAAGTTATTTTTCAAGTAACGGTAACTGTAACGAGTTACTTTTAAAAAGCGATAACTGTAACTGTAACTAGTTACATTTTTTACTCGGTAACGAGTAACTGTAACTAGTTATTTTTAAAAAGTAACTTTCCATTCCCTGAATTTTTCAGACTATTTTATAGTTGCAATTTTATGATTTAACGCAATTTTAGAGACTATAGATACATAATATTATGAAGATAATGACCAGTACGTTTTGAAAAAGTTTGTATATACCGTTTGATAGACATGAGCGGTTGGTACAGGTTTCGCTTCCAATTGTGATAATTTTAAATGTCTGTACGATCCCCAGCATTTATTCGATCGCAGTACATTAATAATCATATCTTTTTGTAATTGTTCTAGGTAGAAGGGGTCTTCAAGAGAAAATTTAGGAGCCTCCACATCTTGAATGAGCACTCCCCTAACAAGTTCTCCTCTTGGCTCTTTTCTCAAGCAGTTAACAAAACCCAATAAACCGCACTCAAAATTTCTCTCTCCGACAATTATAATTCTACTATTCTTATTAAGCTTGTTCTCGTCACTCACAAGTGGCTTTAAATCCTTCAACCAATTAAAATTATCGTTACTTATATGAACAACAATTCTTTCTCTTATGAAAACTTTTTTCTTCAGAAGCACAATTAGTTCTGTGTCAGTACGTTTTTCGAGAATAACGTTTAGTTCATATTGCTGTAAATCATTTTTATAATCAGCAATGTCATGTTTCTCACGCGTCAACAAATAACAACCCTCTCTCAAGAATGACAATAGTCGTTTTAAAGATGCATATTTGGTTAAAAGATTGTATCCAGCAACAATTAAAGTTTTGTCAGAAAAAGATGATTTTTTAAAATCTTTTATTGTGAAGTTTGGCGGTAAATCTTCTGGTTTGAAACGATTTGATGACGTTAATATAGTGACGTTCGTTTGTATCAGTGGCATATCTCTAAATGCTTCAACCAGCAACGAAGATGAAAGACTTTGTATTTCAACGTCATCGACATCTTCTACTAGCTCAGCGGTTTCCATTTTGTTAATTTGATAATCTTCCAGTACAAGTTGGGCCGATAACCGAATGACTTCGTTCAAGGAAATCTTAGCGCGATCGTAATGAGCTACAAACTTATATTCCTCGATAACAGCATCTTGGACAAATCTCCGACGAGAAATTTGAGTAGCTGTAAGACCTCGAATCTCTATTCCGCCAGCTCTTATGGTATCTAGTTCTTCATATATTCGTACCTGTAATACTGTAATAAGACAAGTAAAATGATGTGATACATGTGGAGGCTTTTTATATGTAGATATATTTATATGTTACGTCCGGAGAATTCCCACGATACTTTCTTTCGGAAAAATCTGGAATCGAATAATCAAAAACAATAAAAAGGGCGACGTGAGAATCAAATCAAGATTAAATTGTAGAAATGTTGACATATTTAATTTTAAACTACGAATACATAATTATTAAAAATTAAGATTACAAAATATATATCTACTTAAAAATCTACTTAAATGATGTAAAGATGACGTGACCAGTTTCGACTCGGAATAGAGTCCTCCTCAGACTTGTGAATATGTTTGATGGATAGAATTATTGAAGAAACATATATCATTGTTAATATAACTATTTCTGTAAACATTAATAAAAAAGTTTTATATCATCTTTACATCATTTAAGTAGATTTTTAAGTAGATATATTTTTTTCCTCACGCGTGCACAGAATGTGCCCTATACCGCAACGCTTTTACGTGCGGTAAATAGCCAATACCTCAAGCCATTGAGTTATTTCTCTAACCCCACGCAAAAGCGTTATGTTATGAAAAATAACGTAATGCAGTGATAGCGCTCGTACAAATATCAACACGGAGAAACACGCGCGACCGGAGCGTCCTTTCGGGGCATCTGCAGGGGGGGGGGGTAAGCATATAGTTTTCTCCAATAATAAAAGTAACTACGACAAAACGACAATACAGTATCTATAAATATCGTTCATCTTACAATAACGTTTCAAATTGTAATAATCTCACAATTATAATTAAAAGTAATGAGCAATACAAAATTTCGTATTGTTAAATATTTAATTACGAAATATTTTAATTTCTTTTTCGGGGGGGGCTGCGTCCCCCCCCAAACCCCCTCTGCTTCCTGCGCCCCACACACCGTCCCATAAGTCGCACTCGCTTCGCTCGTGCGCTCCCTCACCCGCATCGCACAATAAACAACTTTAACCAGGGAATGGAAGTAACTCGTTACTTGTAACAAAATTACAGTTACAAGTTACTTTTTTGGTAACTTTACTGATAACTGCGTTACTTTCTTTTTTTGGTAATTGTAACGGTAACGAGTTACATTTTTTGGGTAACGGTAACGAAATTTACAGTTACTTTTGTCGTTACTTTGCACACGATTGAACACGGTTCGATTGGATACATGCTATTTATAGCGCTTATCATCCCTGCTCAAAAGAATGGATAGAACGGTATTAGATATTATAGAAAATTCGACAACTTTATATCATAATTAATACAGTTGTATAAGGTTATATCAGAAGCACTGGCGTGACTTGATAACACTTCTATCATAACTAATAAAGTTGTATCTGCTTTACTCCTAATATGAATGTCATGATTCAAGATTGACAAGTTTAAATATTGATAAATATAAATTTTATTATACGTTCTATCTATTTGAATAAAGAATTAACAGAATTATATCTAAAATATAATCAATACGTTTTAATAGCGAATATTATGAAAACATTAAAATCTCATCCAATATGATATTTATGACAAACGATAATCAATATGAATTTTATCAGATAAAACTGATTGAATCAAGTTTTTCTTATTAATTGATAAATTATGGTTCATCGCGATTCTGAGGTTTCAATTATATCATGTTGAAACCTGATTTCAGAATACAGGCTACTTCAGTACACGCCATGAAAAACATTATTTAGCGTCTATCATTTTTTAACGGAGAAACCTGATTGAATAATATTGATACAGGGTATGTCCGAATCGATACAATTGAATCAAGTTTTCCTTATTAATTGGTAGACTACATTTCGTCACGATTCTAAGATTTCAATCCTATCATGTTGTAACCTGATTTCAGGATAGAGATTATTTTAAAGAACGGTGTGAAAAACACTGTTCATATATCTTTTTCTAAATGATAAATCTGATTTAATGACATTATTCGTGAAACGAGGAATGATCGAATCGATACAATTGAATCAAATTTTCCTTATTACTAATTGTAAATTATTGTTCATTATGATTCTGTGACTCCAACAAATCACATAATGTTGGAACATGATTTCAGGATACAGGCTATTTTAAAAGACGACATAAAAAACGGTATTCACCGTCAATCATTTTTTATCTATAAGATTATTAATTTACTTTACGTACAAAGAAAATTTGTACACTTTAATTTTTGGACTACAATTTAAATAAACTACTTCTACCTCAATTCTCTCTTAGTTTAATTTATGATCAATTAAATTAAAATGCTTGACATATTTTCACGGAAACAATTGTTGAATATATAAGTATTATTAAGTCAATTTGTTACATGTATCGCAAATGTAGCAAATACTATTGCGATAAAAACAACTATTGTATTCCAAAAACAGCAATCCAGGCCTAGAACTGGGTTGCACATTTTGACCTATTTTGCCTACCGTTATCCTTATTCCTTTTGTTTCACAGCATTTAGACTGCATACAGAAATAAAACGATCGAGTTCAGAGACGATATTACAGTATCTGTAAATTATACAGGATACTGTAGAACTTGGAAATATATTGCCTAGCGTTTACTGTTTACAGAGTTTTATTATTATTACTATTAACATTATTTGTGTGTTAGAAAATCAAAAGTAACACTTCGAAGTGTTACTAGCATGAATATTCGGATTCAACATGATAGAAGTCATCAGATGATCAGTGTTCAATGAGATACAGTATTATAGGGTTGGATAAACGAGTTAGAACATTATAGGATATTTACATAATTAAATCCGGATTTTCTTATTCAACATGATAGAAATCGTCAGATAATTAATATTCAACCAGGTACAATGTGCTAGTTTATTGAGAAAATGGGTTCAGACGCGATAGAATATTAACATGAATGAAACAGGATTTTCGGATTCAACATGATAAAAGTCTGACGATCAGTATTCAATGAGATACAGTATTATGGGGATGGAAAAACGAGTTAGAACATTATAAGATATTTATTATACATAAGTAAATCCGGATTTTTTTATTCAACATGATAGAAATCATCGGACAATTAATTAATATTCAACCAGATACAATGCTAGTTTATTGAGAAAATGGGTTCGGACGCGATAGAATATTAACATAAATGAAACAGGATTTTTGGGTTCAACATGATAGAAGTCATCTGACGATCAGTATTCAATGAGATACAGTACTATAGGGTTGGAAAAACGAGTTAGAACATTATAGGATATTTACATAATTAAATCCGGATTTTCTTATTCAACATGATAGAAATCGTCGGACAATTAATATTCAACCAGATACAATGCTAGTTCATTGAGGAAAACGGTTCTGACGCGATAGAATATTAACATGAATGAAACAGGATTTTCGGATTCAACATGGAGGTCATCAGACGATCAGTATTCAATGAGATACAGTATTATAGGGTTGGAAAAACGAGTTAGAACATTATAGGATATTTACATAAGTAAATCCGAATTTTCTTATTCAACATGATAGATACAAATCATCCGACAATTAATATTCATCCAAATACAATGCTAATAATAGTTTATTGAGGAAATGGTTTCGAACGCGATAGAATATTGTAAGAAATAAACTAAGATCTCCCTATCGGACTATGTGGCTCTGTGACAAGACAGTGGCTTGCTAATACAAACTACTACGAGGCCTCGGTTCGAGTCCCGCGTTCGAGCGTCCGACATTTTTTCTCGGCCCATCTTACAATACTAACATGAATGAAACAAGATTTTCGGATTCAACATGATAGAAGTCATCAGACGATCAGTAAGTATTCAATGAGATGCAATAATACTTTATCGAGAAAACGATTTAGGACGCGATAGAATATTTGCATAAATGAATCTAGATTTTCTGATTTAACATGATAACAATCGTCGGATAATCAGTATTCAATGAGATACAGTATTATAGGGTTGGAAAAACGAGTTAGAACATTATAGGATATTTACATAAATAAATCCGAATTTTTTTATTCAACATGATAGAAATAGTCGGACAATTAATATTCAACCAGATACAATGCTAGTTTATTGAGGAAATGGGTTCGAACGCGATAGAATACTAACAGGAATGAAACAGGATTTTCGGATTTAACATGATAATAGTCGTCGGAGAATCAGTATTCAATGAGATACAGTATTATAGCGTTAAAAAACCGAGTTAAAACACCATAGGACATTTACAAAAATAAATTAGGATTTCCTTATTCAATATGATAGGCGTAGTCGTATGAAAAATTCTGTATATCCGATTTGTACGATCACAGATACGAAAAATTTGAACCAAATTTCCTTTAATTTAATATGATAAGTACTGATATAAATAAATAACTTTTTATTAATATACATCTGGATAGGAAGGATTAAGTAAATATTGTATTAAAACAGACGGTTTTAAAATCTCGACATTGAGATATATATTAATACTTAACGTGAATTGCGATATTCAATCTGATATGAAATGTATAACTGGAATTTAGGATCTATTCACATTAACCACGGATATCTCTTTTATCATATACTGTGATACAAGTTCTGTATCTGGATTTCACGATGATGAATACAGAAAACAGGAACCAAATCCCCTATTCAACTTGATACAAAATTTTCCAATCAGATTCTATCTGTTTTCTTGAGCAGGGCAATAAGACTTGAAAGCCCTTAGACATTCGGCCGTCCATGATTCAGTAATTATTTTACACTTCTATCTTCTATGTAATACATAGGACATACAAATATTTCAGTTTGCTGCATATTTTACAGGTTTTAGAATTACAAAATTGTGTTTAAAAAAAATTAAAAAAAAAATTATATAATACTAAAATGAGAAGGGCTACGAACCCAAAAGCGAAACAGTTTAAAAGACGATGACGATAAATGTCGAAACGTCGTTTGTTTTTATCTTGTTTTATCCATGTTATTGTTCTAATATATATTTATACATTTAATTACATTGTCATCGTCGTTCTTATCGGAAATAAACTGTCTCATTTAACCCTTCTCATTTTACTTTTAGTTAATGTATTATTTGAGAAATTCTACATTGTTTTTTTTTTTTTTTAATAAAATTATATATTTGTCAGTATTACATATAAAAAAAAAAGCAAAATACATTTTTAAATTGATTTTAAAAAAGTAACGAAAAGTTATTTTTCAAGTAACGGTAACTGTAACAAGTTACTTTTAAAAAGCGATAACTGTTAACTGTAACTACTTAAATACATTTTTTACTCGGTAACGAGTAACTGTAACTAGTTACTTTTAAAAAGTAACTTTCCATTCCCTGACTTTAACACACATGTTACACAATGTACTATTGTAATCTTAATTTTTAATAATTATGTATTCGTAGTTCAAAATTAAATATGTCAACATTTCTACAATTTAATATTGATTTGACTCTTACATCGCCCTTTTTATTGTTTTTGATTATTGTTTATATAGAGAATCTTTGTTATTTTTTCAATTTAATGGAAGTATCGAGATAGCGAAACGATAAATAAATAACATACAATTCAGCTATCACTTTTCTAAAATCTAAAGAAAAAGAACTCGTTATCTTGCCATAAATGTCATTCTAAAATGAATCATTTACGAGCGCACGTGCATGAACCGTGAGATCACGAATCTTCTTCTCGAAGTCTTAACAAGAAAACTAATAAATATGTCATCTAAGAACACACAATACGGGCGCTAAAGATATTCTAATGGTTAAATTGCGAATGATTCTCATGAGTCCCCGTTCGTAAAATTAAAATGTCACGCATCGGTTTCGCGACAAAGGTACCTTTCATGCACGTGCACGTACATTTTCTGGACGCACCCTAAGCGCTTAAATTAAGTGAAAAGAGTCATAATTTTAAGATATCAGCAGGGAATGGAAGTAACTCGTTACTTGTAACGAAGTTACAGTTATAATTTACTTTTTTGGTAACTTTACTGGTAACTGTGTTACTTTCTTTTTTTGTTAACTGTAACGGGGTAACGTAGTTACATTTTTTGGATAACGGTAACGAAATTTACAGTTACTTATATCGTTACTTTGCGTATTTCTTGGACATGTTATTCTGTTATATAACAATTACATGTTATTAATTACGATAGCTATCAGGGGTGCCAACTTGCCGATTAGCCATGTGTGGAGTTGAACCATAATATATTAATATATGTATATATATAGTCCAGTCAAATTGTCGGAAAAATCGACTTTGCCTTGCAAAAATTGGAAAAAGCGATTTTCTTTTTCTGGCATGTGGGGGGGGTCTAAAAAAAGCTTAACTCTAAGTTTTCGAAGTGATTAAGGAAGAGGCAAATTTACTACGCTTAAAAACCCCAAAAAATTTGTTTTTTGAATAACTCGGCTTCTATTGAAGATTTTTGAAGTTATAATAGCTCATTTTGTAGGTATTTTCATGCTCTACAAGTTATCTTTATAACTTTTTTCTCTACGATGGATAGTTCGCGAAATATTTTACTAAAAGTACGAAAATTCAGGTTAAAAAAAAGGTTAATTGGCCTTTGATCGGTCATATCTCGTTTCCTACCACATTTATCGAAAAACGGTTCAGACAAAACTTGTAGCATTTGTAAATACCTTTAATTTAAGCCGTGTCGCGATCAATTTCGACAAATAGAACGCTCTACAGAGCGGCACAAAGTTGTTGTAAGGTCGAGGCGTGTCGTCACGCGGAACGCGCGTAATTGCGAAACATGCTGCAGATAAATGATGTCGTCGGCTTTTTAAGTCGAAATATAGTTTCTTTTTGCATATATTTATATTTTTCTTGTGTTTAGAAATATGTAATTAAAACTTGCGTCAATATAATAATTAATAATAATTCATGCAACATTATTAATGTATAATAATTAATGTAACGCGTCGTAATGAAGTTATTAATAGTATATAATTATTTATTTCTTTGCTATTATTATTAATAATATTAATGTTAATTAATGTTAATAGTACTATTTATTGTTTCTTATTTACGTATCAATATTAATATTATATTTTTCGGTGATGTAAAAAAGAATCATGTTCAGTTCAATCATGTTCATTTCATTGTCCCTGCAAGTCCATTTATTTTTCCTCGTTCATTACTGTTATTTGAATACTTTTACAATCTGAAGTACTTTTATTTCTTTCGAAACACACACACACACACACACACACACACACACACACACACACACACACACACACACACACACACACACATACATACATACCCACAGAAACACGCACACACCATACTATCGTTCATTTGTAGCATGTTTCGCAATTACGCGCGTTCCGCGTGACGACACGCCTGGACCTTGCAACTTTGCGCCACTCTATAGAGCGTTCTATTTGACGAAATCGATCGCGACACGGCTTAAATTAAAGGTATTTACAAATGCTACAAGTTTTGTCTGAACCGTTTTTCGATAAATGTGGTAGGAAACGAGATATGACCGATCAAAGGCCAATTAACCTTTTTTTTAACCTGAATGTTCGTACTTATAGTAAAATATTTCGCGAACTATCCATCGTAGAGAAAAAAGTTATAAAGATAACTTGTAGAGCATGAAAAAACCTACAAAATGAGCTATTATAACTTCAAAAATCTTCAATAGAAGCCGAGTTATTAAAAAAACAAATTTTTTGGGGGTTTTTAAGCGTAGCAAATTTGCCTCTTCCTTAATCACTTCGAAAACTTAGAGTTAAGCTTTTTTAGACCCCCCTCCACATGCCAGAAAAAGAAAATCGCTTTTTCCAATTTTTGCAAGGCAAAATGACAATTTGACTGGACTAATATATTACATATAAAAGGAATAAAAATAGAGCATATACCACACGTCGGATAACAATAGCGAAATTATCACGTTTTTACAAAATAAATCTACATACATGTATACGAGAGACAGCGGTCGATTATGTTCTACCGAAGCCTCCTCCTCGCACCAGTAATTTCCTCAGAAATAAAGAATCCTGATGCTTGGAAGTAACATATAAATTGAACAAAAAATTTAGTGATGGTGAGAAGTATAATTACGTTTATTTATGTCTGTTGTAACTTTTGAATCGTCCATGTCGTCCCGTAACTTTGAAGCATGCAGCATTGGATTGATCACTAATTTTTTAATTTCTGTAGGAACGCACATACTTCTAGTGTCATTTCCGATAATATACATCTGTAACATATTATCCATAAATGCTTCCCAATTATTTTTCCAAATGATGTGTCCTTTGCGTCCCGAAACAGAAGCACTGTTCAATCCACGAAACAATCCGCTGTACTGATATCCGCACAATTTAAACTCTTTGTAGATATCTCGTGCCGTCATGTGTTCTTCTTCATTATTCTCCGGTAACAGATCTATTGGAATCATTTCCTGTTCTGGATTCAACGTCTCGTACACCATACCTGTTACAACAACGCTATCTTCTTCGGTTATTTCAAATTTTCCATCTGTAACATTTTTATGTATTTTGCATTACTTCATTTTTATTATTGTACTTCATTAAAGATAATAAATATTGATCCATGGGACGTATATATATTTTTTAAATTACTTTGCAATTAATTCCATAATAATAAATGTTAAACATTATTATTAAGTACAATAAACATGCGAATACTCTTTCAAAAATTTTAGAGAAAATTCCGATTAAAATTAAAAAAAACTAATCTTGTAAGTACCTGTTTGTATTGCAATGTATAGTTCTACACCATCTTCTTTCGACAAATGGGTAGCACGAATAAATTTTACATCTCGGAATACTATCGATATGTTTGTATGCTGTACTCCCTTCATCATGCCAATGGTTTCCCAAACGAGTCCCAAATAACTCGTTGCTGGTAGTAAATTTCTCCCATCAATGATATGATCGCTCATATATTCATAATCTTTACTTTGAAGTAATATTTTGACGTATCTCCCTCTCGATTTTATAAACTTATCATCATTATTACTCGGTAGAAACCAATTTTTAGAATGATCCCATCTGATTTATTACAATTCAGATTTATATATGTGAATATTTATACACATACATATAAACGTATAATGTAGTGAAATATTAAATCTTATAGGACCATACATGTGTGAGAAACACAACCAATGAGACATTGCTTTTAACGATCGAGCTTGGATCTTAGGTATTATACTATTATAATTTCGCGTGAATTTATATATTATATATTACGTACGTAGTCTTTTTGAACCGCGCGCCAAAAAATTTTTCGGTCTTAAGACGCTTGTCTATGAAATTACCTCAATAATATCACGAATTAAATTATCTACCAATATAACAACGAAAATATAACTCATACGAAATTATGATAGCACCTAAGATCCAAACTCGACCGTTAAATGCAATTACTCATTGGTTGTATTATGCCCGTGTCACACTACGGATTGTGGACGAGGATTGGATTGGGATTGCGGATCGTCGGATTTGGATTCTTCGTTCACACTACGGATTACGGATTCAATTTGCAACATATGCTATATCGCAAATATCGTGTCGTCAATACAGTGTCGTCGACGTTTACTGTGTATAGGGTGGCTAACCATTTCGAATTTTGTGGGACGTCCCGATTTTTAATTCTCTATAAACACGTTTCGAAAGGACCTAGGTTAGACGCCGTCGACGTCGATGCTTATTCATCCATCATAAATGGGTCACGTGACCAAACTCGATGTTTTATTGGCTTGGATCACGATTACGGATCACAAAAATAGAGAGCCGTCTATTCTGCAATCTACAATCCGGATCCGAAACTGCCTTGTCTTGATTGGCTGAATTCCGATCCGTGATCCGCAATCCCAATCCGATCCGCGTCCACAATCCGTAGTGTGACACGGGCTTTAGGTGTGTCGGAAAGTTCCGTCCATCTAGCGGCCAGTAGCTATAGCTAGAACTGTCGATAACTTTAATGTCTAAACCAAGCTTAATTTTTTAGTTTTACCATCTATCAATAAAATTTAGTATATAAAAATATACGTTTGCATCAATAACATTGCTTTTTACTGCATTGAAGACGTAGACATTTGAGCCAAATAAGCGTCATATGCGCGATGTGTTAATCTTTTGCTTCAAATAGAAAGAAAGAAAACTGCAGCTGCAGCTCGAATGCTTGTAGAAGTTTATGGTGATAGTGCTACTTCCGATAAAACATGCAGGGAATGATTTTGACACTTTCAAAGTGGTAATTTTGATGTGGAGGACAAAGAGCATTCTGGACGGCCAAAAGCATTTGAAGACGAAGAATTGCAGGCATTGGTGGAGGAAGACCCATGTCAAACGCGAAAACAACTTGCAGAAATATTAAATTGTGCTCGATCTGTTATTTCCGATCGTTTGAAAGTCTTGGGAAAGATCTACAAGGAAGGAAAATGGGTCCCTTATGAACTGAAGTTAAGAGACATTGAAAGGCGAAAATCTACGAAATTCTACTTGCTAGGCAACAAAGAAAGGGATTTTTGCACCGAATTGTGGTTGGTGATGAAAAGTGGATCTTTTTCGAACCCCAAACGCCGAAAAACCATTTGCGATGCAGGCCAACCATCGACGTCGACGCCAAAGCGGAACATCCACGGAAAGATGGCAATGCTCTGTATTTAGTGGGATCAGAAGGATGTAGCGTACCATGAGCTGTTGAAATCTGGTCAAACAGTCACAGGGGATCTGTAACTAAAACAAATTATTTAAGTCCATTATTACACAAAAAATGATCAGAATATGAAACGAGACAGTATAAAGTGGTCTTGCTTCATGACAACGCTCGACCTCACATCACAAAACTCGTTAAGGAAACGTTAGGAGCACTTCGCTGGGAAGTGCTACCCCATGCGGCTTATTCACCAGACTGTGCCCCTTCCGACTACCATTTAAGGCGTAATCACACTACAGGTTGTGGGTCCAAATGCCGCACGACGCTCGAGCGAATTTGATCTTTGCACGGAGCAGGGAGGTGAAGGGGACAGTGGAAGGCGGAGACAATTCGAAAATCGGCCGAAGTTACATACACTTTATGTATATTCACTTTGTACTGGCACTTTTAATTAATAATATATCAGTTACTTTTCATAGTGATATATTATTATTAGATAAAAAGGATTAAATTTTTTAGTATCCTTTTTTGAACATGACTTGAACTTTTCATTTTTATGATTCATCTTTAGAGGCTATCCAGTTAGAGACCCATTTTTCGATGCTTTCATAAGCATTGAAGTGTTCCTCTGTAAGTGCGTATGCTATCGACCGAAATAAAGACGTAATCACACTATCGGTTGCACGCTCTGTTGCGATTGAGTTCACGACACGTTCTTTCACTAATAGCGGCCTCACCATAAGTATTTGAGAGCATTTGATGAACCTCGCAGCCGCAGATTTCTTCATATTGAAGCAGGAAATTAAATCCTCCCTCAAACGACGAGAATTTGGCTCGTAAACTGACATTTCCAATCGAGAATAACTTTATGATGCAGACACACATCGACTAATGTTTCTATTTAGGGGTTATGTTCAGGGAATGGAAGTAACTCGTTACTTGTAACGAAGTTACAGTTACAAGTTACTTTTTTGGTAACTTTACTGGTAACTGCGTTACTTTCTTTTTTGGTAACTGTAACGGTAACGAGTTACATTTTTTGGGTAACGGTAACGAAATTTACAGTTACTTTTGTCGTTACTTTGCACACGATTAAACACGGTCGATTGGATACATGCTATTTATAGCGCTTATCAATAAGATTTGAAAGCTCTTAGACATTCAGCCGTCATGATTCAGTAATTATTTTACACTTCTATTTTCTATGTAATACATAGGACATACAAATATTTCAGTTTGCTGCATATTTTACAGGTTTTAGAATTACAAAATTGTGTTTAAAAAAAATTAAAAAATAAATTAAATAAAAGTAAAATGAGAAGGATTACAAACCCAAAAGCGAAACAGTTTATTTCTAATTCGTCGACTCGCCAGCAGAGGTCTATGGATATTCGTAAAGTTTCTCGCAAGTGCTAAAATACGCGCATATCTGTATATATAGAATCTCGATTTAAGAACTAAAACAGGCGTCTAAGGTAGGCTTCCACTACATTACCTTACTGATGAGTCCAGTAGTGGAAGCCGGGACGAAACGCCAACTTGTGATATTCTTCGCAATTTTACTAAAATTAATTTTAAGTATTCGGTTGCGGCTGTTGAGGACTTTGTAAAGTCGAAACTGTCCGTATATACCGGTATTATAATAAATTTATATATATTTCTAACATCTATTATAAGCTCAATGTGTTCTTGACCTGGGAGGTATATTAAATTTAATTTGGAAATTTATTTGAGCGGATATTAATTTAATTTGTTTATACATTTAATTACATTGTCATCGTCGTTTTTATCGGAAATAAACTGTTTCATTTTTGGCTCGTAACTAGGGTGGCCAACTTTTGAATAGTTAATTTCGAGATGTGAACCTTAAAATTTCGGGACACATCCCCAAAATTCGGGACACAAGGTTAACTAAAAAAAAGAGAGAAAGAAAGAAAAAAATTACAAAACGTTATGGAGCACCTTGTAATACATAAAGCAATACGTGATCCCTTTATTAACTACATTCAATAAATAAAATATATATATTATTAAATTTATTCTTATTTATAAAATGTATTTATAAAATTAAATGACATAAAATTAAATCACAAAGAAATATAACAATATGTAATACAATACTTTAAAGCTTAAAACAATTTTTTTTGTGACTTTGCACATTTCAACATATTCTTATTCTCTAAAACATATTTGTAAAATTCTCGAAAAGTAAATGATTAATTTATCTTAATTTGTAGTTCTGCTTTTACATGTTCTATAAGTGATCTATTTCTGTTATCACTCCAGGTATTACACTGAGAAAATACACGCTCTGCTGAAGCATTTAAAACTGGGGAATTGAAGCTATAAATTGGAATACTTTAAGAAAATTCTTGTGAGTGCCTGAGCGGCTGTGGTCGGTGACGACACTGACGACGATGACGTCGGTGACAATAACTAATTTGCAGTGTGGCGTGTGATATCACTAAAATCGGGACAAATGGCGTCCCGCTTAGGGTACTTTCGGGACGCCTTTAAAAGAGTCAAAAATCGAGATTTCCCGCAAAATTCGGGACGGTTGGCCACCCTACTCGTAACCCTTCTCATTTTACTTTTATTTAATTTATTATTTGAGCCATTCTACATTGTTTTTTATTTTTTTAAATAAAACTATATATTTGTCAGTATTACATATAAAAAAAATGCAAAAGTACATTTTTAAATTGATTTTAAAAAATTAACGGAAAAGTAACGAAAAGTTATTTTTCAAGTAACGGTAACTGTAACGAGTTACTTTTAAAAAGCGATAACTGTAACTGTAACTAGTTACATTTTTTACTCGGTAACGAGTAACTGTAACTAGTTACTTTTAAAAAGTAACTTTCCATTCCCTGTATGTTGACAGATGCCCAAGTTTATTATATAACGTCTATGATCTATTAATTTCGATAACCACTTACCGCTAAAGCCATCTATAGGAAAACGGAAGCAAAGTTGTACACCTAATATATCTCATCTAAATTTTACGATTACGATTACCTGATTGATGGAGAAATCATAGGAGTTCCTCTGCTAACCGGAAATTCCACCGGTGGGTATAAGTTGGCAATTTGCGGCTGTAAACCACTATTATACAGCTTCCCAATTCCTTGGAGAATTATATCGTTCTTTTGTTCGGTGCATCGACTTAATATAAGATTTGTCACGTTTGGATGTAAGGAGTCTGTCAAGACGTGTTGCAGAACATCGTCGGGTGCGATTTCGATGACTATGGCGTTACTTGGAATTAATACCGTTGTTTGTGAAAAAAGAACTGTGTTTAATATACTTCGAGTATGATAGTCTGCCGATGATAACTCTGATGCTGAAGTGAACCATTCAGTGCGAGGTATAGAAGTGCTGATCCACTTTGAACTTCGTTTCTTTGGACATGATATTATTTTATTCAAATTAAGTAAAAGCTGACTCTCCGCAGTTGCGATGTAAGAACTGTGAAACGGTACGTTGCAGTTGATTTCTTTCGCGTAAATATTATTGATCTAAAAAAGAAATGCAACATTTGGGGCAAATTTAACATTTCAATACTTTAAAAACTTAAGTACTTTATTGTATGTCCATTAACTTATGTGAGTTATTTTTTACTTTACCTGTAGTTCTTTCATAAATTTTTGTACGGATTGTGGTGGTCCACACATAACGTTACTGTTCTTACTGTTGTGGCATACTATTTCAATATCCGCTGGACATTTATTTTTAAGGTAATCATAGTCGATATTGACAACCGCCATCGAGCAATGAATTATATTTTTTTCGGTACATGCCATACCGATAAAATATGCTGATAAAATAGTTTGTTCTATAGTGAGACATTCATCCGCATACGCGCAACCAAGTTCACTGGTAGAATGACCAATCATATAATCTGGAGTAATTCCTAAAGATGTTAGAAGATCTATTAATCCAATCTACAAATAAAATATATATGATTAATTTTAAATATACAGTTAGACGGTATATTTAAAACACCTATTATTGTTATAATAGTAAAATTAATGTTTAAGTTGTAAATTTAATCAATTTATTAAACAATCTATATCTAATGTAATATAACGACGACAATAAAAAGATTTGAATTTACAGTATGTGTTTTACTGGAAAATATATTATATGCAATATATATATTTATGTGCAACTATGGAAGATTGTAAATTCTTCACCTGAATAGCAACGAGTCCAAGAAAAGTATTTAATGCGTTTTCGCATTTTTCTTTTTCCATTTTTGTCAAAATGTCTATGACACTTATATTATAGGGCTTCAAAATATCTTCACATTTACTTATAGTTTTTGCGAAAACGTGAAACTTTAATAAGCTGCGACCTAAAAAGAATTTAGTTTATAGATTACACCACTTTGTGGCATATTTAAGATATGCATATTAATAATTAAATATGAAATATTGAATATTTACCCATTCCTGGCCATTGAGAACCCAAGGCTGAAAATATGAACCATACAGGTTTTTTCACTCTTTCACAATTTTGAATTTTCTTTATTGAATCTTGTTGGGAAGAATTCAATATAATGTACCCTCTCCATGGATGACCGTTTATATTATCTGCATGTATTTCGTGTAATAAGCGAATATACTCTACGTCTATTGGATGATTGGCAATCTATAATAATAAATTTTTTTAAATTCGAACTAAACATAATAATTGTCTTCAGCAAAGAAAGCAGCTTTGCAAATGTTGTAAAATATTTAAGATTATTCTTGTCTTTACTTCCTCATTAGATCTAAATGTATGTATTAGCCAATCATATTCAAAAGTTTTATAATAGTTGCAAAGCTGCTTTTTCTGCTGAACGCCACCATTGTCTCTAGATATTGGACATAAATATCAAAATGTTTTTGAAAAGTTTACACTAACGTCGTTTAAAAATAACTTCACTGATTCTTCTGTACGTCCAGATAATACGACGAGTCTAAGTAAGTCATCATTTGGTGTTCCGTTACTGATTTTCCGTTTATCATTCCACTTTAATAAGGTATGAGCATTGGCTCCTCCAAAACCGAAACTATTGATTCCTATGTAACCATTTTGAAGTGGCAGTGGTTCTTGGATAACACAAATACTTCCATTTATCAGGGCATTTATATTATTTCTTGGTGATGTGTAATTGATATTTGGTGGAACAACGCCAGTTTCGAATGCTATTATTACCTTTAATAATGGATAATAATATTGAAATGTATAAACTTTAATTATTCGTCAGATACTAACAAGTCATACATTATTTATGTGTCATATTAATTTTAATAAATATCGAATTTGATGAAAGGTTTTAGTATTTTTCTATAAGTAATTGTGTTCGAATGCCTTCAAATATAACTTATCGATAAAAATTTTTACAAAGAATATATTTTTTTGTTCATGTGCATATGTACATACATATACAAATATATTGTTGTGCGTAACATGAAAGCAAATTTTATAATAATAGGTGAAAGTAGAGGCTACTTATTCTAGACAAACCTTAGCGATCTGATTAAAACCACTCGCAGGTTCGCTATGACCAAGATTAGATTTTACGGAGCCGACCATTAATGGAGTTTCTCTATTTTTACAAAACATATTATGAATAGCTTGAATTTCTACAGGATCGCCAACGCTTGTAGCAGTACCGTGTGCTTCTATATAATCTAAACTTGATATCGGTATTCCGCATTCATTATAACATTGTTTTAGTAGATCATATTGCATTTGTGCTGACGGGTGTGTTATTCCTTCTTCTGTGTAACCATCGCAGTTTACTTTTATATTCCGACATAAGGCATAAATTCTCTTTGCATTTTTCGCCTTTTGGAGGTATGCCACTCCCACCGTTTCGCTACGCACGTAACCGTTAGCAGCTTTATCAAATGGTTTGCAATAACCGTCGGGTGATAAAACACCTGAAAGATATAAAATATGACATTCCATTTTAATAAACCTCTCTTGATTAAGAAATTATCACTTTCATCCATGATAAAGTAATAATATTCTGTTTATGCTTCGTTGAGATGACATTGCTCGTTGTTTATTTATTTTTTGTAAATAAAAACTAGATTTTATACGTAACACATTGTGTGCGTAAGTAATAAGAGAAAAGAGAGTCTCAATAAAAATATAAAAGTTAATATTTTAACAGAATTACCAAGCCGAGCAAATTGCAGGGTAGTATTAGGTTTAAAAAGTAAATGTGCAGTTCCAAATATTGCGTCTTCGCATTTGCCTGTCATGATATAGTCATAAGCAAGGTCCATAGCATAAATACTAGTACTGCATGCTGTATCGATGACATAAGATGGTCCTTTCAGATCCAAGTAATACGAAATCATATTTGCCGCTGTAGATTTGTGGCTCCCAATAATATTCAGACCGCCTAACTGTTATAATTGCAGAACGTATACCGTTATAATTGTCATGCATGAATAATAGATTCTGCAAGTATCTTCTCAAGAGTTTACATTAGTTCGCAATTTTCACATTTTACTTTTAATATAAAATATAAGTATATAAAAATTATTACAGATATTAAGTAAATATATTAATATAAATACGAAGTAGATCATGCATGCATGCATATAATATAAATAGTACGGATTCACTAAGCAATGACTTATTGTAGAAATCAATCAATTTATTCTTGCAAAATACAGAAAGAAAATGATTAAAATCACAAAATTTTAAATGCCTGCTTTATCGCTGCAACGGTCATAATGATTTTTTATACAAAAATCAGCAAACCAAAAAGGCACATTTTGTGTGAAATACAGTTCTTACGATCAAATAGCTAAATATGAACTCTTGAGCGCTCTTTTAGGTGATCTTACCCCATCCATATTTACTGATCAGTTTAAATTGATCTATTGATCAAAGAGCCTGTCTTGCGGAATAAGTTATACGAAAGCGGAAAAAGTCGATATGATTTTTGTCTATATGATTATCAGGAGACGCGGATAGTGTCTCCGGTCATGTTCAAAAACTGAAAGACACTACAAGTCTTTTATCCCGAGCTTACAAGTCCATTTTTGGGGGTTGCATAACTACTAAAATATAAAAAATTTTGAATCGAACGTTATATGTCCTGAAAAACGGCACGAGTAATTTGAGCCAAAAAAATCTAAAATCGATCAAGCCGTTTTGGAGATACAAGCGGTCGCAAAGAGGTGATTTTAATGAAAAATTAAGAAACGTCTCTTCCTTCTCCTTCTTCTTCTTCTTCTCTGTCCGCATTCAAGATCGTATTAAAACTTTCTCTAATATCCCCTCTCACCTTTCACTCACACATTCACCATCTTCGACCGACCACAACCCCTCACCATTCCCCTCCCCCTCTCCCATCACCTCTCTCTTTCGCCGTATTTCACTCTCTTTTATATGTATAATATTTTAAATCATTTTTTTATATATTTGTAATATATTTGTACTCTAAAAAGTAAGTGATATCCGAAAAAATTATATCATAAAAATGAAAAGTTCAAGCCATATTCAAAAAAGGATACTCAAAAATTAAAATTTTTTTTTATGTAATAATAATATATTACCATGAAAAGTAACTGATATATTATTAATAAAGATATGCCAGTACAAAGTAAACATACATAAAGTGTATGCAACTTTTGGCCGATTTTCGAATCGCTTCCACCGCTGTCCCCCTCATCTCACCGCCCTAGGCGCAGATCAAATGTTGCTCGAGCATCGTGCGGCATTTTTGAGTATCCTTTTTTGAACATTGCTTGAACTTTTCATTTCTATATATTTCACAAGACACGCAATTCGTTCGATTGATAAATTCAAACTGATCAGTAAATATGGATAATGCTATGTGCGATTCAATGTTTATTTATATGTTTATTTACTTGAACGATTAGCTGTATATCAACAAGCAGAGAAGTCATGAAAATATTCGAAGTGTGTCTTAAAGCAATTTATTTTCCATTATTAACCTATCGTAACCTTAAATGATCTTCAATTATAGGTCACTGTATTCTTCTTAAAATGTTCCATATCTCTCAGAATGTAAATAAAAAAATATCCCATTAAAAAAAAACAGATTTGACCTTTGTCTATCGTTTAAGCCTCCACCTACAAAAAAATTATTTAAAAAAATCACATTGCCTTTCAAAACCGAGCAACTTTTGTTTCATACTTTTCCTTCTATATGTTAAAAACAAGCAAATTATTCAGGTGACCTGTTTTAAATGTCTCACCCTGTATAGTATAAATATGTGGTATATTAAACGTATATGACATGGTTGTAACATAAGTAGGCAATAATAATACCTATTAATTTAAGAAATGGTGCCGCACGTGAGACAGAAGATTCATGATCCAGAGGTCTCGGTTTCGAATACTATTAAGATGTGTTCAAATAAAAAAAATGATAATTATATTATTCGTTTATGTAAGATGTTTACAGGAGATCTAAATGTACGAGATTCGACGAATATTAGTTCCGTATAATTTTGGTTGCAATGGTTTCCCGTTTATCAAATAAAATTTGAATCGGATGGAAAATAATGTAAAAAAAAACGAATGTGTATAATATTATAACAATTATTAGCTGGATATCACAACTAAAATTATCAGAATTGATGTATGTTGTATTTATTATACTTAGACTTCTCGTAAATACCTAATTTGGACGTAATGTATGTTTATTGAGATACAACGTATTTTATATCAAGATATTTTTATAGAAACGTACAATTTGAGTGATCGGTTATAAATCGTATCTTTTATAAAAAAAAATTAATTAATTTATAATGAGTTAGATATGTAAAACAGATGCCTGAAACATCAAGCAATAAAATATTTCAAATGTTATCTAATAGAAAATGTCTTAAGTATTGTAGTTAAATGTTACTAATTCGGCAACTTTTTTTATCTCCCCTCCTCTCTCTCTCTCTCTCTCTCTCTCTCTCTCTCTGTGCGTGCGTGCGTGCGTGCGTGCGTGCGTGCGCGCACAGACACATAAAAAACCTTAGCGTGCGTATGTGTTTACATTTACTATCTCTTTTTTACCTCCGTTTCTATATACAACAAATCCGTTTGTGCTTCAACTATAGATATCCCTATAATTACAGCAGTATTTTTTCCTCGTAATTGCTTCGGATTGATCCCCGCATCGATAATTGCTTCATAAGTACTTTCCAATAACAATCTCATTTCAGGTGACAATAAGTGTGCTTGTTCAAAAGATAATCCAAAAAAATCCGCATCAAATTTTTGTACTTTATTGATAGTACCCATACGACGTGGAATGTCTTCATGCTCTAAGGATAGATATTCACGTAAGCAGGATTCAGCATGTATTTGAAATACTTTTATTTGCAACATAATTTTTGTAATACAAGTGCATTTTATATTTTGTATTACACAGCACTGCTCATATAAATGTATTATATATTTTGTATTTAACATTGAAAAATTGAAAGTTTTATGTATTTCGTAATTTAAATGACAAGATCAATTGTCAATCTTAATATTTGAAATACAAGATACTGTAACGATGCCCCCCTAAAATGCATCGTCCCTATGTGGTGCCAACGGAAGTAAGGGCAAGGCGCCTGTACATAGTTTAACAATAATTCACAGGGACAGCAGCCGCCGAAACCGCCAGTCTCGTCGGAAAATGCCGACCGTCGCCGGGGACCGCCGATCAGAAATCTTCTCCCACGAGAAGTCGATAGGCGGAAAATATCGAGACCGACCGGAACATTGAGAGCGAGACTGGCGGTCTAATATAAAATACCATGTCAACGACGTTCCGGCGCTATTCCTGGCCAGCTCTTAGCACAGATTACTAGCACCAGCTCTTAGATCACGCTCCGCTGCTCCGAATCCGCTTCCTGGAACGCGCTTGTCTCCGACGAACCTACGAGGTCGGGTGTACCCTGCCTCCGCCGGGAGTTCCCGGCCGTCGATTACCGGATCCGTTTTCCTGTTCCGACTGATTTTATAATTGCGCGACGCGCCGCGAAATACTATAAAACTTGCTGGCGTATACCCGCGTCCATCGTGTTATTAATAGTCACCGCCTTGTACACGACCCGCGCCGTAAATTATCGCGAATCAGCGAGCGACCGAAAAACTCGCGACGTCAGCAGGACCGCCTCTCCGTACGCGCAAACTACCGAATTCACGCGTCCCGGTACCTGCTGACACCTCGCGACCGTCTGTATATATTCCGCGCATTTAGGATTAAATATCATTGTATAGTATTGTCCGCGTCCGTTTTATTATTCGTTCCGTTCTATATCATTGTTTGCGCTTTTTGCATTTATATCGTTTTTTTTTTGCTTTTATACTATATCTTTCTGTGTTCTCTTATTTTTACTTTTATCTGTAATAAATTGTGTTCGTGTCTCAGCTTACGCTTATATTATTTCTTATTCTTATTTCCGAAATACCGATCCAACGCGAATACTCCTCCTGCCGAACCTTGTTGTACGACACGCATAATTCGACGAGCTAGTCCGAGTACAATATCAGGTAGTTACAATACTAAATACTTTCAATTTTTCGTTATTAATATTGAGAAAGGGGAACTTCAGAAATAGGTTTCTCGGATTTAAATGTCAATTTTTTTGATAACTCTACAAGTCAGAAAAGAATTTATATATTTGGGTATTTTTCCACATAAGCCTTAGTTTTTGAGTTTTTAAATTTTGAAAATTGGCTGTGTTTTAGACTGTGTAGATGCGAGCTGTTCCATTAACATACAAAAATTATTTACGACGAGAGAGTCATGAACTCGCTCCTTCGATTTCCAACCCAAGCCAATCTGTTTTGTACAAAACATATTAATTCCTTGACCGATTTTTAAAATTTAAAAAGGACCCCGCACTAAACAAATGGAAAATGGGTTTCAGTGGATTTGGCTAAAATTTGAATATGATGTAGTTAATGTGGTCCTGGAAAAAGTATGAATGGGCCCAAAGCTCAATAATGGCAAGTTTCCGAGTTATTCAACTCTAAAGTTAAATAAATCTGTATTTTCGGCCCACTATTTTTAAATTACACAGTCACATAAAATTAAGAAAGTGGCATGTGCCAAAGACTAGACCTATGTTTTCTTAGGTATTTTGACGTGCTGAATCCAAATCAGGGATCAAAATTGACCGCCACTATGTCAATTTTTTTTAAATCGTGAAAAACCACCCTTGAAAATGGAAAATTCCATTGTAACTGCATTCAGCGTTAGGTATAAGTGTGGAAACCGACTGAAAATGACTGCAACATCTAACTTATATGTATTTTGGCGTGCTGGATCCAAATCCCCGGTCAGAATTGAACATCACCACACCATTTTATTTTAAATTGCTTATTATTGATACGCACGCATAACACGCATAACAGTATTGCAATCGCTTCTCAACGCATCAATAACTCATAAGCCAATTATCAAATATCATTTACACATCTACTCTTAGGGGCTCTAATTTAAAGTAAACGCTACCTTACTTTACTTTACTGCGAGAAAGGAACTCCACAATTCTGACCGCGGATTTGAATTCAGCGCATTAAAATACATATCAGTTGGATATTGCAGTCATTTTCAGTCGGTCTCCACACTTATACCTAACGCTGAATGCATTTACAGTGGAATTTTCCATTTTCAAGGGTGGTTTTTCACGATTTAAAAAAAATTGATATAGTGGCGGTCAATTTTGATCTCTGATTTGGATTCAGCACGTCAAAATACCTAAGAAAACATAGGTCTAGTCTTTGGCACATGCCACTTTCTTAATTTTATGTGACTGTGTAATTTAAAAATAGTGGGTCGAAAATACAGATTTATTTAACTTTAGAGTTGAATAACTCGGAAACTGGCCATTATTGAGCTTTGGGCCCATTCATACTTTTGTCCAGGACCACATTAACTACATCATATTCAAATTTTAGCCAAATCCACTGAAACCCATTTTCCATTTGTTTAGTGCGGGGTGCAACTACTACCTATGTAACTACTGCCTATGTGGAAAAGTCGCCAAACACGAAATTTCTTTTCCAATCTGTACAACTATAAAAAAAATCGACATCCCAATCGAAGTGTACTATTTCTGAGATTCTTTGTGAGATATAAAATATCTTTATATTCTTCCATAAAATATAAAATACAAAATGTTTTCATGTACCCCGCTGAAATATGAAATACGAAATACAATTTTCTTACAAAAACCATTTTTCAAATAAAAATAAATATTTTATGTTCTTTATCATTTTATAGTATATGAAACCTCAACAAAATTTCCTTTTTAAAAAGGGAAAAAAAGGCGTCGGTAATTGTTCACTTTAGGGGAGCCACCTCCAATGACCTTGACCTTGACATATGTTGTCAAGGTCATGACCCTGAGTAACCTCCAACAAGTTTTAGCCGTCGCTCCCCTTCGTTAAAAAGTTATTAACAATCATAGTTTTAAAATTAACATATGATATATAATACATGTATGCTATTAAGTACTATTCTACATATGTCGGGGCAGACCTCTGTCGACGGTGTGGATTCCACAACGTCGACAAAGGTCTGCCCCGACAGTACAATCATAGCAACAGTATAATCATAGAAGTCGTGTGCCCCTTTGCAGGGAAGGGGGATGAAAGTTACTTCGCGTGGAAAGTTTAACGTTTCTGAATACGGAAAGGTGTAAAATAGTACTTAACATCATACATGTATTGCAGAAATAATTCAGAAGTATTCATAATTATATATTTTATTATTATTGAATAAATTATTCATTGATCGCGATATGGTGAGTAAAAACGAGCCATTATATCAAAAAATATATACATCAATACTTCGCTTGGAAGTCACGCTGTATAATAGAAATAAAACGTAATTTTTCAAACTTTTTTTGATTATAACTTTTTAACGAAGGGCGAGCGACGGCTAAAACTTGTTGGAAGTTACTCAGGGTCATGACTTTGACTACATATGTTAAGGTCAAGGTCATTGGAGGTGGATCCCCTAAAGTGAACAATTACTAAGGCGTCATGTGTACTATGTTTAAGTCACAAAAAACCGTTACATATATTATTACAGTTTACAAAACATAAAATGAAATCTCTAAATTACACCATTTGCGAAAGGAATATATTTTCTTGCCACATATATGTAACATATACTTTATTACAAAAAGAAAAAACTTAGCACTGATAGACATAGAATAGACATAAGAAACCATAGACCGAGCGTAAGCCTGCGGGGTAATGATAAACGGGGTAAGAGGAAACAGCGGACGAATTCGGCTATTTCTGTAGATCGGCTCGGGTATGTTCGAGGTTACAGAAAAGAGTGTATGAATCTCAGCGATTTTCAATTCAACATCTATTATTATAAAATGCATTCTTTTATATATAGAAATAAATACAAGATTCATTCTTTATTACTTTAAGTTCAACACGTTCAAGAATAATTTCAGTTTAAAGGTTAGATTTGAAACTTAATTTATTTAATTAATTAAATAATTATTTATTTAATTAATTAAATAAATATTACTTAATATTACTTAATTAATTTTTTTTGTAAATGTAAATATAATGCAAATGTGATGATATGTGATAAATGAGAATAAAAAAAATCTGTATTATTTTTGTAGAAACACGTTTTAATGAACAAATATTAAATCTCTCTTCCGTACAATTGATAAAGAATAAACAAACAAGAAAAAGGAAGCCAATAACATATTAAAATCTAAAGATGATAAATTAAAATTCACGTATTTAAAATTCTGTAATTCTTATGTATTATTACGTGATTTAACAAATATTGAATTTTTTTATGACCGTACAATTGATAAACAATAAGCAAACAAGAAGAAGGAAGCCAATAACGGTCAAAGCTGGATCACAAATGCTTATTATAATTATGTTTTTTTTATTTTATATTTTTTATATTTAATGTTTTATTTTATTTCTGACAGACGCTTCTAACCTTTGTACTTTCAAATACTGACACATGAGATAATTCAAATAATGACACATGCCGAATGTTTCCGAATCTAACCGAAGTTTACCCGACTTATAGTAGCAGCTTACGCTCGGTCTATGGTTTCTTATGTCTATGCTGATAGACCTCAAAATGTAATAAGTGAATGTTGCATAAAAGAAATGAATGTAAATTAATGTTTATTTATAAATTAACATAACTCACTCATATATACTGTTGTAGCCCGCGAGTGCTACCACAATTAAGTCTCGCATTTCAGCCTAGCAACGAGCTGGCGGAAATGCAAGACTATTACAGCAAAGCAACCTTTGCATTTCGGCATAGCAACGACTTGCGGAAATGCAGGGTTGCAAATTCCATAACGCGTGCGGACAACGATCACTGATCGAACGCAAGCAATGACCGCACGCACATCGAACAATTATTAATAAAAAGCAAATCTTGCATTTCGACAGGACAACGAACTGCCGAAATGCAAGAGGACGAAGTCCGCGTTGCACACGGTACGAATGCCGCTAGTTCGATGACTCCGCGACGCATATATATTCGGCGGTCTAAGGACTGGCGGGAGAGTCTTGTCATACATCTAAACGTAACGATACGTTACGCGCGTCGCGAGAACCGAGTCATATTACATCCGCGATAACGAGTGTCGCCGACCGGTCTAAGTCACGAGCGAGGACTTTAACCCGAATATATTCTTTAATTAAATCAATTCGACAATTGTAACCAACTATTCGAATTGTAACATAAGCAATTAACCACCAAAGTGTAATCATTCAATCGGGTAATTATAATAATTAAATAAAGGGTTACGATTACTTGAATAAATGTAATCAGTGGTAATAACCACTCGAAATTGTAAGTGTTATAATAAATAAAAGGGGTTATTTTAATAAAAGTGTGGTGCAGTGTGTGTTTGTTCTACGACCTTGACCACTTTCCTCGTTTTCCTCGTGGGTTCCAACCCTTTGAGCGGATCGAATCCCAAAATAATATCTTGTTGCACCGAGAGGTACAACAATACCTAATCCTGTAACCTTGATTTTTTGTAAAGCAATAATATTTAATTTTTGCGGAATATTGCTACAATATTGTGGTAATGTTTCAGGTAATATTTCAATTTTTTATAATAATGTAGCTGCAATATTGTTACAATATTTCGTACATGCAGGCAATCGAGCTGTAAATAATTGATAGGTAAACAAGGTTCTTCCGACATTTCAATTTGGGGTATACAATTATATATTTATTTGACAACAAAATATTTTGTTGAAAAATAGATATGTACGAATTAATACGTTTAGTTCAGAAGAAGTAAAATATATTTTATTTTAATCAATAGAGCATGAATGTAAAAATATAATGTATAATATAAATATGATTTAATTACCCATTTTCCATCGACCATGATCTGCTCTTAGAAGATCAATTTTGTTGAATAAATTTTCTCGTAATTCATTCATGTTATCTGAATTAGGAAATCTGCCAGCAATGCCGGAAATAACGATTTCCTCGCCGGAATCAATATTCTCCCTCGATTTACATGTTTCTTTGCTATCCATGACTGTTATATACTCGGATAATCTAGAAAAATGCTATGTATTTTTATTTTATGTTAGTTGAGTGTGTGTGTGTGTGTGTGTGTACATACAAGATTATTTTTTTAATTAAATTAAGTTAATCGCTTAAAAAATTAATCTTTTTTCGTTAATAAATGCATAAATAACTTGCACTAAAATACTTTATTACGGTTGCAGTTAACATGAAAGTTAATTTCCCAATAATAAGAATGAATTAAAATTGATTAAAATTTTTATGTGTATTTTAAACGCATATATTGAATCAAATTAAACAAAAAAATAATTTTTTTAAATCTTATTTTTATTTTTATCTAATTTTTTTAATATTATATCTTAAATCTCATAAAACCATAAGAAATTTAATCAATAAGAATCAAAGCTTTTGTAATTCTGCAGCGTTACTTGTTACTTATTATTTTTTTCAAGAAGTAACGCTTTAAAAAATAACTGTAAGAGTAACAGAATAGTATTTTTTTCATTCCCCGCTTTTTAAATAGCAAAGAGCATAAAAATATCTTCATGCAATTTCTATAATAATAAATAAAAATGCATTCGGATTAAAAAATATTTATTTTAACGTTAGGGAATGTGTAGCTATTTCTGAAAATTTGAATCTGAATGAATATGTAGTATATAAAGTTTATGATTGTTTTTATATTGAAATACATATATTTTTCTTTAATTCAAAAGACCAAGTAACTGTTAAAGGTAAATTGCATAAGGAATTTGGATAGAAATAATGATTATTAAGTAGATATTAAGAACAATTATAAAATAATTTTCATTCAACGTTATTTAAATAAAATTTTAATTAACAAAAACAGTGCTTTTAAATAAAATATTTTTTTTTCTTCTTTTTTTTAAACTAAAGAAAGTACAAATAACTACACTAGCGAGATCATCATACTCATAAGATTTATTTAACTCCTTTTAATTATTAAAAGTTATTAAATTTTTAATTTTTACTTAACTTTTGACTTATTATTAAATGGTTGTTCTCCAACCTTCAATTTATTTTTATTGTCTAAGTTTTAGATTTTTATGTATATCGGTTTTAGTTACCTAGTTTAATATTCGCTATCACTGTAGAATCGTTTATGTTGCAGGTGAAGAATAACTTAGCACTTTCATGATAAACCATTCTTTATATACGCATCACCTTGTATAATATAGGTTACTTTGATTATTTACATTGTTGTTTAAAATTTAAAATTAATTAATCGATGACTGTTACATATAATAAGTTCAAAGTCCTAACACATCCATATATTGAATATTGTTCTGTAATCTTTTTTAAAGTGTTTCATTAGTAAATCAATGTATCTCATAAAAGTTTCTAATGTTTTTATACGATGAAATTGAAGTACCGAGAGATAGGGAGAGAAAGGGAGACCTTGACGTGTCCAAAATTTTAAGATTAGTCAACAATGAAATAAAAGAGAAAAAATGTTGAAAATGTAATTTTTCACGTATATAACCGGACATTGTCAGTAAGGTTAATGAGCACGATTTCGTCTCTTCTCTGAATACGTATCAGGAGACCATCTCTTTGATATCTTCTAACGAGATTGGTTCTCCCTTGGTGAGGAGGTTTTTCAAAGGAGTGGCGACGCTAAAGCCTCAAGGTCCACCCTACGATTTTAATTGGGACTCACCTTCCCCCTTGCTTTAAGACCACACGACTTCTATGATTGCACGAAGTCGAAACTCACATGCAAAAGTACAATTATGGAAATCGTGTATCTTTACGTAAAATGATTATTGTAAAGCGTGTAAAAGACTTAATGGTTATTTTGCAATACATATGTGTAAAGGAATAGTAAAAAGTATGTTGTATACTTGTATAGCAAAATACAAGTGCTTTTCTCCTGTATTGTTTGTTTAATTAGTTGTCTTATATATTCCATCTATTTGGGATATACGGCATTTTTAGCGAGCGGGATGCTATGCCGCAGCACAGACGCTCTATTTAAGAAGTTTTTATTAATTTTAATTATATTTTGCATTAATGCATAAATGTTAATAAATCTTAAACGTTTAAAGATTATTTTCAAAGATTTAAAGCTATTTAAAAAAATTTTATTAAGTCCAATTTGTATTCCAATTTTCATTCTGAACAATAAAAATTGTCATATATAATATTGATAAACAAATGCAAGTTACGTCGTCATTTTACATTTTATTTATAGACTATTTGTGATTTTCTTATGAATTATATGAGTGGCTATATTACCCCTCTCCCCCCCTCTATGGGATAAATGGCAAAAATGCAGGGGTTTGAAAAAGTTATTTTTTAATATGGAAAATAAATTATTTTGGATTTTTAATATTTTTTTTACAGTAATAGATGATACGAAGTTTTTATGTATATAATTAATTTGTTTTAAACATAGTAAATAATAATTGATAAATTAAGTTTTTGATAGGTGCGGCATATATACCGGGTTTACCCTACACATATTTTAAGCTACTCTATGACGTTTTGAAAGAATTTCCACCCCTTGAATTTATGTACTAAAAAAAGTCTTGACATTTGAAGTTCGTTATGTCTTTAAATTACAGAGGGATAAAATGTATTTTTTTTATATTTTCGGCAACTGTTTTACAATTTTGTTGAGAAATTTCACACCTTGCTGATTAACGAATTGTTATTTTTTGTAAGGTGCGCAGTTTTCTTGTGAATTTCTTTCTCATTTTTTGAAAATTATAAATTTTGGATAAAACGTATTTTGAAATTTTACTCTCCATATACATATAAACAGACATTTGGGACCCCCATGGATTGAGCGCTATCTACTGTCAAAGCTCATTTAGTGCTTGAATATTTGGAAATCAGTGCATTGAAGAAATTGGGAGTTGAATGACCTTTTTAAGATATGTTTTTTGATATATGGACAAAGGCTGTTCCATATGAATCGGTAGATAAAACATTTGAAATTTTTAACTCGTCGCATGCAAAAGTGCAATTCACATTAGAAATCGGTGATAATGAACTAAATGTTACAATAAAAGAGAATAATGGTATAATAGAATTTTATTGGTTTCATAATCCAAGGTTTTTCAACTTTCATTCTCTTCATCCATTGATATAGAAGAAAGATGTAATTTTTTATAAGGTGAATATGACCGTCTTGTTGTCGCATCCGAAATATCATAAAAAGAATATTGAACTCATAATTAGAATTTTTATTGATAACGATTACCTACTTGATCTTATTTTTAATACAGTGAACCTAAAAAAAATTATTAGTCAACAAAAGAACGAGGTAATAATGATGCTGATAATATGTCTGTTCGCGTTGCATGAAATCCCCAAATAATTTTGCACTTAAAATGGGATAGATATACATATATTCGGCGTTAAAAAGAGAGAAAGCGAAGATGGTAAGTGCAAAAAGTGCAAGCAATGCGAACAGACCTAATGAGACGACAAGAAAGCATTAGTCCCGTTCTTCGTTTCGAGTAAAACCGTTACGACACCGTCATCACTTTCTACTACCGATACTACACCGCGCGTGCAACCTCGGGCGATTGAATGTGGGGAGAATTACGTGGGGAGTTACGATCAATGCGATCTCAGGATATCGATCATAAAACTTTTTCCCTAGGATGGAAAATGAAAAGTGAAAAATTTCTCCATTAACTACAATGGTAAAAATTTTCACTTTTCATTTTTCATCCTAGGGAAAAAGTTTCAATGATCGATACCCAGAACTTTAATCCGAATTCTAGTTGATAAATCATGTAGTTGATAAATCAATCACAACATCATATTTAGAAAATTTGATACCATAGATTGCGCGGATGAAAAAAAAATGATGAACTGAATGCGATTAAACACAACTGTGAGAATTAAAACCATAATGAGCGGTCAAGCTGGATCTTGGGTACTGTTATAATAAAAAAAATAGGTGCTTGACACAAGTTTCCCTTTAATTGTCATCATGTAGCTTTTTTTAAAACAATATTGATTTTATTTAAAGCAACCTACAGGCATTATGTGAACAATGATTATTAACGCAATACATCGGAAATGCTATAGCATACCTACTTTAAAAGTTATTATTATCTGTTGGAAACCGTTTTCATAAACTATTTTGTCCGCATTTCCATCATTTGTATGAAAATTAAAAGACATCAGGCAGTACGTGGAACCGCCAACCACTTTCAAAGAAAAGATTTGTATTGAAAAAAAAACATTAAATCCAGTACATGCATAGCGTAAACGCATATTTGAACGTTTATCTGTAATCAAACGAATCCCTTTGATCAACGTTTTGAGCTCTGAGCACAAAATTCGATTAGAAATGATATCTATTCATTCCGAAAGCGATAAATCATGTTTAACAATGTTATATTTGGAATATTTTATAACAATGTTAAAAGTTTGCTGGGATGACGTGGATGAAAAAATGATGAGCTGAATGTGATTAAACAACTTATGTAATATACATATATATATTGCATTATTTATGGTATGTTACATTTATAAGTATTTCCTGTTATCACTTCCTGTTTGTCTTGATTGCTAAAGCCGACATTGAGGATAATTAAACAATGCATTAGTGCTATAATAGTGTTACTCTTTTAAAATATTGTTTATTTATTTTGTTCATTTTGTAAATTTTTGTAATCTTTATTAGATAAATATTAATAAACATTAACAGAGTAAGGTATAAATTACTTAATCGGCTGTAGAACCGACTAATTATATTTGCTGTTTAGTAGACCATGTAAACTAGATCAATTCAAATGGTTCTGATGACATGTATCATTTGTATAAAAGATCATTTGTATAAAAGATATAATATCAATAGTCGGCGCCAAGTTAAATTCTACTATCTTTAAAATCCCGATGTGGTAATTATTCTTATTGAATTCTACTAAATTAAATAGTAAAACCCATGTAGTTCTTATTGATTAAATAGTAAAACCCATGTAGTTTTTATTGAAAGATTTTCCTATTTCAATTCAAATGGTTCTGATGACATGTATCATTTGTATAAAAGATATGATATCAATAGTTGGCGCCAAGTTAAATTCTACTATCTTTAAAATCCCGATGTGGTAATTATTCTTATTAAATTCTACTAAATTAAATAGAAAAACCCATGTAGTTCTTAATTTCAAACCCAAGTGGTTTA